AATATAAGCCCCACCCTGAATACAATCCCCCCCTGATTATAGCCCCCCCTCATTGTCTTTATAGCTTACTATGTTAATCAAAGTGTGTTATTAATACATGTTTATTTTCCTGTTTATGACTGACTTTTTTATTACTAACACAAAAGATTGTCCATGTATAAGCCCCCTTGTGTAAGCCCATCAAAAATCGTTTACGAAAGAATATAAGCCCAGGGCTTATAGTCGGAGGTTTACGGTAGATTGTCAAAAAACTGCAGAACTGATAAGATGGTGTCCTTGGGATACAATACTTATGATAGAATCAGGGCAGTGAGGAAAACACATGCAGTACGGGAAAACAAGGCTACCACAAGAAACTCCCCAGGTCTATCCTTACAGATAAAAGAAATATCAGTATCACACCAGACACCAATAAACAATTTTGCATCTTCTGCCAAACATTTTGTTTGAATGTTTTTTTTAACCCAATGAGTGGTAGCACTCTCCCCCTGATGAGTAATGAGTCTAGTGTTAAACAGTAAAATAATCTGGTGTTAGGTAGAGTAAAATAATAGACAACTGGTTGATCATTTGAGCATAGATAACTGGTTGATCAGTATAAATCCTTGCAATGCATCACACAGTAGTGAATACATATATATATAGTGTTGTGATAGTGCTGAATTTCCTCCATTTCATTCTCTACATTCACTGCCCCTCCTTCAGTTTCACCATCACCACTGCTACCACTGGGCGCTTCTTCCATCATTCGGTGTGTATGAATGTCCGTCAGGGCAAACAGGATTTATTGGATAAATAAAACAATTACAATCAGTTGGCTGGTGTAATTCTATTGGTGGAAGTACACTGTCCAGCTCATCATCTTGACTATCTGGGTCACATGGTGGGATGTTGGTGATGTTGAAATATCAACCTCCTTCCTGTGGATCATTAGGGTCGAAGAACTACATGATATGAAATAAAAATACGTTTAATACTGCTGTATTACAACAATTCTAAGCGAAATATATCAATCACATCATCGATGACTGTATTTTATATAATTTATACAGTACGAGAGCATTTTTATATTTCTATTTTATATAAATCATCTTACCTTAAAAACACAACTAGAGTGAATTTGTACCAGTGCAGGATTACCGCAATCAGGGAACAATTTCATCAATTTTTATCCCGTTAACCACAGCTGGACAAAGGACTATTCTTCAAACTATCTGTATTCCGTAAAACTACATAAACATGAACCTCACGACATTTCAAGTTCATCACACGGTAGTCCTTCCGGAATCAAGATTAATGGCTGTTTTGACACACAGTGAACAAACAGAAGCTCGTGTCCACCCAAAAACGAAGCTTTCTTTCCACGAATAGTGCAAAAATTCACCATTTTACAATTTTTTTTCTATAAATCTTTTCCGAATCGCTCGAATCCTCGAGGTGTAAACAGAGCGAGAGCCGACCGAACAATGACGGCGCAGAGCGAGAAATCGGTAATATGTAAAAAACCGCCCCTGACCGCGTTGCATGCCGGTATAGTCCTCACTCCTCCTCTGGTAAGAAGCAGTGAATGGAGCAGTGTCACATTTGTCACATTGTGCGCACCCCTGCTGCGCATAACGAAGACTGGTTCGGAAAGTGTCGGTATATAGCAAGGTAATCAAATGCATTCACCCGAGAACATCGATTAGTTAGCTACCATAGGATTTGGTACTAGGTAATTCTACCGTACGCCAAGTAACATCCTCACTGCCATAATTTTGTCCTTGCACTGGTTGAATTTAATTTCGGAAGGGAAAAAAAGTTTTTTTTAATCATTTCTGTGCGCTACCTATGTTCTAAAAAATATATTTTTGGACACCAAAACTGGGTTGCTATTGGCAACCAGGCAGTTAAAGTGGCAACATGCTGTTTTGCGATAGACTGAGCTTGAGAAAATATATCTCTGGAATGATTTAACCAATTGACATGAAATTTTCAGGATATATGTATCTTGCCATTCTCTTGGGGATGAACAGAGGATTTTTGAAAAGTTTGAAAACTAAGCGGATTATGAGGTTTTAAATATAGCATACAAATTTGCTTGACATGTCTATGCAATAATTCATGTTAGAAAATATATATTAAAAAATCCTCTGTTCATCCCCAAGAAAATGGTAAGATACATAAATCCTGAAAATTTCATGTCAATTGGTTAAATTGTTCCTGAGATATCCTTTCTCAAAGGGTAAAATGTGCGATTTCGAGAAAACGGCTTTAAAGTTTGGGAATTGTTTACAATGAGTAAATGTAAGGTCTATATACAGAAGTTCAAAATCAAAGTCTTGCTGAAGGTAATTAGAAGGCACCAGCTTCATATGTGGTACCTTCAGCATCCTTCAATGCTTCTTCCCTTCTAGTACAAAGTAAGTTCTCCCCCTGACGCCTCTTCTTCTATTTCGCTGTTGCTCAAAAATTAGGTTTAGGAACCTTTTCACCCACTCTTTCCAGTTCACTTAGACATTCTCTTTCTAAGACGAGGAGAATGGTCCAGATAATTGTTTATAATATGCAGTTTTTGACATACATGGCATGTTCATAATGCTACATAGTGTAGCCAGTCCACGGTAGCCGCCACCCATTTCAAAAGAGCTGAACGCAAGTCGTCGATTAATGTCGAAAGATGTTCCCCTATTGTGATACACTGGTAGATGTATCCAACACCTCTACATTGTCACATGTGCTGCATTCGACTGTCAACCTTGACATTAACTCCTGTCTTCTATCTTCGCCAAGCCTCAAATGTCCTATATCGAAGTGTTACAATTAATATATACAAAAGCTTATTCTAATGGTACTAGAGCTTAAATCACATAAACATGCTGAATATTAAATTCATGGGCTACAATAAATATTTTGCAGTGTTACCTACATTGCAAAAACATGTAGTGATTAGAAATTAATTCAATGACATTTAATAATAACAACAAGTCACAGAGCCTACCTTGTTCACATCTATGGATATCAGAAAGAGCAGATTACAGTTGTCCAAATATTATAAACAAGTCTGTATTGTGATGGTCAAATGGCTATTTCTTTGCTTTCGGCACACTCTTGAGCACCATATGCTGGCTTAGTTTTGCTCTTGAAGCACTTGTGAGTGTCGATATTTCACCAGAATCACTGGCAGATTCATCATTATTTAATAGGCAATTGTACAATATTAACGTTCCCAACATGGCCGACATCTTCGCTAACAGTTGATGAAGATTTTGTCATTTCACGCTTGTGTTTTCATACTCAACTAACGCCACGACTTTCCCTTGACTTTCGTTAAACACTTCTTTTCGTTTTCCCAACCATTCAACCAACAATTACGCATTGAAAAGCTCGCCAAACTAGGAAAATTTTTTCTGAAATCAACTGGCATCAGTGAACGTGCTCGTGAAGTGTGTCTTCGTGTCCCATAATGCAATTTTTGTGTTGAAAACCGCTGAATACAAAGCCAGCAGGCTTCACTTGTGGAATGCGCTTCCTCAAACTGCACGTACGTCCAAATCATTGAGGCATTTCAAAAATGAAATTAATCAATTCTTGACATTATAATGGGATCCCCACACGGCAATCTTGGAAAACAGTGCATTTTAGTTAGGAAATTAGTGTGTATATAGTGATGTGTGAAATTTATTAATAGTTTTTGTATTTTATTCTACACTGAAGATTTTACCGTGTTTAAATAAATGTTCAATGTTCAATGTTCAATGTTCAATGTTCAAATTCTTCTCAATTTTGAGCAAAGCAGTAGATTTGTAACAAAGGAGCGGTCAAAATTTAAAAAAAATGCTCTTCAGTTTCCATGGCAACGAAAGAGAAATATACATGCGCTTAGTAAAAACTGCTCAAAAACACAGAAAAATTTTAAAAAATACACGTAAATCAGTCTGCAATAGCTAAACAAAGGTCTAAACCTCTGTTTTAGCACAAAATATTTTTTTTCACATTTCAATCAATTTTTGGGTTGACCCTCCCCCAGAAGATCTTATTGTACATTGTCCATTGTATTTGGTACGTATATCCGGTTTTGTTAGTGACCAATCAAATATTAGAACGTAAGGAGCAGTGAATGGGGCAGTGTCACATTTGTCACATTGTGCGCACCCCTGCTGCGCATAACGAAGACTGGTTCGGAAAGTGTCCGTATATAGCAAGGTAATCAAATGCATTCACCCGAGAACATCGATTAGTTAGCTACCATAGGATTTGGTACTAGGTAATTCTATCCTACGCGAAGTAACATCCTCACTGCCATAATTTTGTCCTTGCACTGGTTGAATTTAATTTCGGAAGGAAAAAAAAGCTTTTTTTATTAATCATTTCTGTGCGCTACCTATATAGTTTTACACATAATTTGTTTGTAATATATGCACACTTAGAATATGCATTAAATACAATTCCGTGCAGTAGGTGTCTCTGTTAGTATCGGCATATAGTATATAGCACGAACGTTTTTGGAAACTTAAAAATCACAAGCTTTGGACAACGTGATTCATATATGGAGATTTTTCAGTTGGTTTTAATAACGATCTCAACTCGAAATCAAATGGACATAGCCCAAGTTAGGTATGTCGCCCGCCACACCGTTGTCGCTAGCTATACTCAAGGACCACTTAGCCAAAATAGGATCAATACAAGATAATGGTTCGTTCTGTGACGAAAAGTAACGAACTCTTGCGCGTATCAGCAATATTGTATCAAACGCTTCCCACTGACAGCGAATAGGCTATAAAAGAAGCAAGATTTCAATGCTGTTTATATAACCTGTTGTCTAGGACTCAAGGAGAACACCGCTCAGAAATAGAAGCAGTTCAAAGATGTTTCGTTTGGGGTTCGTTCTGATCCTGTGCGTTTTTGGCAGCAATGCTTACAACCTCGACCACGATTTGGAAGGTACGGGATTTATTACAGACTTTATATATACTGGATAGCTGTTCAAACTGTCATCCTTGAAGATCAATTAATAAAAGGCTGAAGCTTTTTCCAGTCAGTCAGTCAGTCAGTCAGTCAGTCAGTCAGTCATTAGATAGATGTTGGTTACTTCTTGTAACCTTTTTTATTTATGTTTACCGTTTTAAGAAAAACTAATAAGTTTAACAGAAAATCTATTTCTTAGGGTGATAAAATAGTGCTGTTTAACATAATTACTTCAGATATGAGTTGTGGTCCTGTTTTTTACAATTATTCCCAGCAATAGGTCTTGTATGTTACACAAAGGAAAACTGTTGTGTAAACGCTCAATTTTTCATCTTTTTTCACCAAACTATGCCAGGTTGAGAGCGTGTAAGTAACCTTAACAAGCTTTTAATACCCGTTATTATCCCACGCATTTGGTTAAAAAGTTACGAGGTGAAATAAAACTTTGTAAGATCTGCATTAGGTTAGCTTTGATCTCTGGTCAAAATCAACTATTAAAATTTTTTGTTCATGAAATAGCACAATATTTTGTTAATAAAACGACCAGCTTTCATTCAAACGCTTTGATTTTTTGCATGTTGTTTTCTGAAATGTCAGAAAACATAGTCCCAAAGTTTCGAGGCGCTGTCTTTAATAGATCTTATTTTATTTACGTTTTATACGTAAAAATTCATGTTACAAAAAGGAACTGTTCCTTAATGTAACCAAAAAAGTCCTTTTTGTAACTCGAAAAAAAATTTACTCCTCCATGATGAGGCGTGAAGCCGTTATTCTGGTATGATCAGTTTTTGGATACTTCTAGAAATTGACTAATATTAAAATTGCACTCTCAACCCTCTAAATTTGAAAGAAAAAGAACGTTTTAGATTAAGACCTTTTTATCAATATAGGTGATTTCAAATAATTTCCTGTCACCGTTTTTGAAATCATTGTTATAATATTTGTACCCCATTCAACTCGCATTTTGTTTAAAGAGAACGAACATTTTTTTTCATTTTCTTTAATACACCCCTTTCCAAAAGAATGGAATGAAATATGGAGCAAAGAGCAAGATTTCAAAGAAAGGCCTGGTGCGAGTTTATTGGAAATTCGTACCCAGGGCCATTTTACTCGGTTGCTTGTTGTTTTGGGCCTTTTGGCCATAGGCTTTCTTGGCAATCTTGCGTCTAAGAACGTTCTGAACGTCTAGTCTTTTACGCTTTTACCATCCAAAGAAATCACCGTTTATAATTGAGGACATCTGGTTGAGGATTATCACACACCGCTGTTGGTGTGTTTTTGTTTGAGGTAAGGTAAATATTTTTGCCTAATTATTAATATTCATGACAGAAATGAAGACCAATTTATACCATGCTCTGTATTTGCATATTATTACTGTCTGTGAAACAATGATTATATTTTCTCACTTCATTTGCACATGCACTTTTAAAGCTATAAATGAGATTTGTGGTTTAGACTTAGGTTGACAAAAGTTTCTGTGTGCTCATTTTTCTTATTATTTTATATTATTAGATTTATATATTTCTATTTATAGTCTTTAGACTTTACTGCTCAGTCATTTATATATAAGTGTTTTTAAGTCAATATTGTTTAATAATCTTTAAATCTTGCTTTTAAAGTATTTGTGTATGTTACTACATGTTTCAGTCAAATGGTGTGCGTTTTAATTTAGTTTTATCCTTAATATATTGAGTAGTTTGTTTGGGTAAATACTAATAGTATTTACCCAAACAAACTACTCAATATTTTAAGTCTAAAACTAAATGAAAACCCACACTATTTGACTGAAACATGTAGTAACATGTTTGTTCCTTATGTTATTAATATTTGTGAGTTTTAGTTGAGCATTGGAATTATTAGTTA